CTACGGTGCTTGGGACTGGGATTAGCCCCTGAGCCTGGGACCGCTCCTGGCTTTACGTTGCATTGCAGGCAGCGTTTCGGGAGCTTGTAGAAGTCAAGTGGCAGGACAAGATTAATTAGGATTCCTTTCTAATCCTAATTACGACGCTGCTTGCTTCCCACGATAGGAGGCATGCATTACCATATGGACAAGGTTGCTTCTTTACCCCTCTCCCATCCCCTCTGCTTCTCTCCTCCCCCCAACAGAAAAAAAAAAGGTTAAATAACATTTAATACATTTTACAGTAATTAAAAAAAAAATCCTTTGGTTTTAATCTACTAAAGACATCACATGGGCAGAGGAGAAAACCATCCAATTCCCTATTAATTTCCCTCGCCGTCTTAATTGTATGCAAATCCGCCAAGCCCAGGTTTTAATTGAGCCGTTGGCATGAAGGGATCAGAGGAGGGTGCGGGGCRGGAGGCTCCGTTGGGATAAACGCCGCCTTTTCATTAAAATGGTGATTCCGCCCGGCGCGGGACCGCTCGCTGCCCTCCGCAGAGCTAAAGCTCCTCGTCTTGCGCTGTTTGTCTTTTCTTTCCTTGCTCCCCTGCGCCCCTCTGAGTCAGTGGGCTGATATTTGGGGTTTTGTTTTAAGTGAGAAGAATAAGGAGAGGGAAGGGATTGGGGCTGAGTGGCTGCCAGGCTCCTGATGGAGCCCTGGGRATGCTGAGCAGGCGCTTGCTGCTTGAAAAGGGGTCTCGCCCACACCCCGAGGCTCCCTCTTGGGTTCCTGGCCAGCAGATATCCTGGGAAAGCTCACCAAATTTCCCCGCTGTGGAAAATCCTGGGTAAGGATGGACCCACAAGCCAAACGCCAGGGCCACAACCTCRTTTCAGCTCCGAGCCCTCCTGCGGACGCGGGTCATGTCCCCCTGCTTGTCCGGGAGCCCGGGGGCGGGATGTGGGGCTTCCCGTGGGATCCCCGTTCCTGCATCCCGGTCCTCGTGTCACTGAGCGTCRCGGCTCTCCTGAGCTCGGGATGCTGGCAGCGGTTGGCTCTGCTGCTCACCCTGTTCTTGCTTCTCCCCTTGCYCCTTTGGGGCATTTTCCTCATCAGCTCTGGGTATTTCACCCAAAACTCTGAGAATTCCACCCAGAATTTTGAGTAGCAGARCAGAGCAAAGGAGATCAGATATTATCAGTGGCCGAGGGTCAAGCCAGGCCTTTCCACTCATGCCGTCCCTTCTCCAGGGGGAACACWGCAGTTTTGGCACTTGCCCTTGGCCACCATAAGAGAAGCAGCTCCAGGAGCGACTTCCGATCTTGATTTTTCCATGCTTTTTTTTTTAATTCTTTCACGAAGAGCCACCTACGTCTTTCTCTTAGCAGATAAGTACTCAAGAAGTGAAACGGCTCTTCCTGTGCCCGTAAACAGTGAAAAGATCAGCCATTCCTCCTGCAGAGCTTAACTTGAAATAATAACCATCCTCACTTAAAAACAGAAACCTGCAGCAGCGGCGACGGCGGCAGCACGAGGCATTTTTAGGCATTGCATAAATATGTTTGCTTGTGACCTGGCCAGGATATCCTGGGACTTCTCGGGTCTTTTTGGAGCTTCTTAGCTTCTGGATTGGGCCAGGGATGGTRCCAGACTGGATAGAGCTTGGAGAGATCCTGCAAATAGCTGCAAAGCCTTGGGAGAAGTGCCGTGTTCTCCCTGCCCGTTCTCGGAGCAAGGAGCCTCCTGCTGAGGCCGGAGCCTCGCGCGGGCTGCGGCGGCGCCTTGCAGGGCTTGGTTTCTTGCTCTAAAAAGCCCTGCTCTAGCAGCGAGGCCGGTTTGCTAGGAGGGCTCCTGGGGGCTCCACGTCGGGCGCTCTGGGCACACGGACAAGCGCCCCTGGCCTCATGTCCCCATTGCGGCTCCCCGGCCCACGGCCTCCTCATTTCGCTATCTCTGGGGCCGGCCGTGTGGGGCAATTGGAAAGTGAGATGAGTAATCTCGCGTCACCGCGGCCCCGGCTGCGCCGGCGGCAGCTGCAAACCGCAGCGAGCGCCGGCCACTGCGGCACCGGCACGTGGTGACACGGGGGACCTCCTGTGCAGGGCCGGGGGCTGCGGCGCCTTCCCGCCGGGCACCGAGCTCCGCTGCGAGGAGCTGCACGGCCGGGACGAGGGGCAGTGCCAGCCGCGTGGCAGGGATGCTCCGAGCGGGGCGGCGATGCTGTGCGGGATGCGGCAATGCCATGCGGGATGCAGCGATGCCGTGCAGGATGCAGCGATGCCGTGCAGGATGCAGTGATGCTCCCCGAGATGCGACAGTGATCCAAGGGATGCAGGGATGCTCCGCCAGAGGTGGTGATGCTCCATGAGGAGCAGCAGAGCTCCGCAGGATGCGATGATGTTCCGTGGGATGTAGCGATGGTCCACAGGATGCAGTGGTGCTCCGTGGGATGCAGTGATGCTCCGTGGGATGTGGCGATGCCCCATGGGGTGCAACGATGCTTCACGGGACACAGCAATATTCCTTGGAATGCAGCGATGCTCCACAGGATGCAGACACTTCATGGGACAGAGCAATCCACAGGATGYGTCAGTATTCCACAGCATGCAACAAAGCTCCACGGCATGTGGTGATGCTCCATGGGATACAGCGATGCCCCATAGGATACAGCGATGCTCCGCGGGATGCAGTGACACTCCATAGGATACAGCAATGTTCCCCGGCATGTGGCAATATTCCACAGGATGCAGCAAAGCTCCACGGCATATGGTGGTGCTCCACAGGATGCAACAATGCTCCATGGGATGCAGCGATGCTCCACAGCATGTAGTGATGCTCCATGGGATGCCATGATTCTCCACGGGATGCAAAGGTGCTCCTTGGGATGCAGCGATGCTCCACGGTGTGTGATGATGCCCCATGGGATGCGACGATGCTCCGTGGGAGGCTGTTCCAGGCGGACCAGCGGCTCCATCAGCAGGAGCTTTCCTGCCATCCACCCTCATTCCTCCCYTTTGGGGCTGGACACTGCAGCAGCCTCGGATCTCCCGGGTGTTTCCCAGCCCCTCTGCACACACAGGGCCTGGGCACTGGGATCCCGGGAATCTCCGTTCGTGCCCGTCGCTGCATCCCGGCCTGTTGCAGAGAGCTGAGCACCCTGTGGGGTTGTGTCCCCAGGGGTGCTGGGACCTGCACGTGGTGCCGTGGCCAAAGCACAGGGAAAATGCGGATATTCTCCAGAGGAGGCATGTGCAGAACACCATGGGGCTCTTTGATAACCTTCTGCATCACTTTCATTTCAGTCTGAATTTGGCTTTTGACTTCCTATGTTACGCTGTGCTGCGATTAAGGTTAAGCTCTTAAGCAAAACAAAACAGAACAAAAATTTCAGAACGTCAAAATAAAACCAAACCAGCAATATAAAACTACTCATTTTTAGCAAGTCAGGACTAAATATATCAGTTTTTTAAAAAATGAGTCAAAATGCCTGTTAACACCAGGTGTTTTCCCAAGGTTTGGCTGTGGCAGATGACCATTTTCCAGCCCTCCCGCTGCTCCATCCCACCGGGATCGGGCTGCTCTTGCTGCAAGTGCACGTCCTCCTGACCCGTGTGCTCCCTCTGCGGCTCTGCAAAGGAAACAGAAAAGAACGAGCCTGAACGTGGGAAGTCTTCTCTGTCCCATAACCAGCGATCCTGCAGCATGTTCTTCCAGGGGAAAATAATTAAATGCATAAAAAATAATAAAAATACATAAAAACAAGCCCCCAGGAGAGCAGCTCAGCACGAGTCCATTAGCACAAGCTCAGCATCCACTTTTGTCCCCCCAGTAGGTTTCTTTCCTGCCACCTCTAGGCTGGGAGTTCAGTAAAGGTCAACTCGGAGAGATTATTTAAAAACATGTAAATATCCTTACATTAAATCCGGCGCAGTCAGCAGGAAAACGCCAATGACAGGGTTAATTCTGCAGCACGTGGCAGCATCAGCTGGCAACTCCCGGCTTGGAGAGCTCTCCTCAGGGCTCAGGGGCTGCTGCTGGTCTGCAGATCCGGAGCCTCGACCCGTGGGAAGAGGGGCAGCGATGAGTATCCCCCCCGGCACCGTGGTGGAGGTGCCGCGCGGATGCTCCGGATGGGAATGCAGCCCCACGTTTGCGCTGGCAGGGGGGTCACGTTCCCCACATCCCCCTCAGGTGTCAAAGCTGCAGCCCGTGCACCAGGGTGTGAGGTTTGCAGGTGCTCTTCAGTGGGGAAATGCATTTGCACGAGCAGACCCTTGTGCAAAGGCGCCTGTAAAGCGSCGTCTCCGGCCTGGTCCCCTTTCCCTTTCATGGGTTTCCTGCCCCGAGCCGTGATGCAGAGGGCAGGAGGGCCCCGGGCGCTCGCTGAGACCCTGCACAATCATTCCTGAAGTGAAAGGCAGCGCTGGAGCAGCGCAGAGGCTGCAATGAGCTGGCGGCGCCGGGCAGCGCGCGCTCCGCAGCTGCGCCGCTGCCGTTCCCGTGTTCCCACCTGCCTTTCCCGAGGGCGCTGCTCCGGTTTCTCCCAGGTTTGCAGTGCAGTCCGGCCTGCTTCCCCTCCTGGCTTTAGCAGGACAAATCGGAGCATTCCCGCCAGCCGGGTGAGGTCGGATGGGATTGAAAGGTGCCCACGGGTGAAACTAGGCACGCACGGAGCAGCCCGCAGCACTCGGGGCGTGCAGGCTGGAGGGAGACAGCAATGCATGTGTGTGTGTGTGCACTCCCTAACAGGGGAAATGCCAAAAAAAGAGAGGGAAAYCGGTAGGTTTGGGTTTTTTTGGTGTTCTTTTTCCTAAAAATGCCTGTTAAGCACTGACTTCCCTTGCCAATGCACATGGGAGGAGCGCCGTGCGGTGTCCAGGGAAGTGTCTTTGGATGAGCCAACACCACACGTGCTTGCAGCATTCCTCCCAGAGGAAAAAATACGGGGAAAGCCTGAAATGGGTGATCTTGCATTTTCCCCAGCACGGCGCCTGACCCCTCTGCTTGTGCCTTGCAGTCTAACAAGGTGCCCGTGGTGCAGCCGTCGCACGGAGTCCACCCGCTCACCCCGCTCATCCCCTACAGCAACGACCACTTCAGCCACGGCTCCCACTCGCCCCACTTGCCAGCCGACATCAACCAGAAGCAAGGTAAGGGCAGCAGGGATGCAGGTGGGAAAACGGGGCTTATTTGGGGCTCATTACCCCTTGCAATGCTTTATAATGTCACCCAGTAAAGTCTGATATCAAAAGCATCAGCCTTGCTCATCGAATGTGCTCGGCTGCCTGTGCAAGCTGCCTGCAGACCAGAGCCAGAGCGACRATGCTCAAGAGTCAACCAGAAAATGGAAAGTAATCTTTCCTTTGACTCATACCCAAACTGCTGTCAGGCTGTCGTTTTGAGAAAACGAATGTTTGAAACAGGAAATATTTTGACTAAATAGGATCGGTGTCTCATAGCTAGCTGGATTTTTGTATCTGGGTGTCAGTCTGTGGCCACACGTCGTGCGGTTGTCGCGCTCTCTGGCTGCAGAGGAAAGTGCAATACAGAGAGATAAACCCCGATAAAAATATGGGTGCAGAAGCAAGAAGTCACCACAGAGGGGAAGGATTTATTGCTGGGGTAATAGATACMCAGGCGCATCTTGGGTTCCTGCCAGCCAACAAATTGCTTGTCAGCCACCAGAGTGTAATAAACCCGGTAGAAAAATATGAAGAGAAGTTAAACACTCATTTCCATTCATTTCCCTACCCTGAGAGGAATCACATGAATAGTGGTTGAATATGCAAGAAGCAAACAGAAGGAAACCCCACAGCTTCGTCCCACCGTAGCCAGTGCTTTGTTAATACCAAGAAGCTCGTCGATCCCAGTCTATTCATAGTGCTCCGGTCACAGTCACTGGTAGAATGACCTGGAGAGACCTCGCTGATAACTCCCTTGCAGTTCAGGCCAGGAGAAAATCTTGCACGAGGTGCCGTATGAGCAAAGCCTTTGGGTGAAYATCCCGCTTGCCCAAGGTGAATTCCCACCCGACACCATACCCAGGTCCACGGAGGAGCGGGACAGCAGGAAACCCTTCTTAGAACAGATGCTGAGTGCAGACGTGGCCCTATATATGTATAATGTATAAGAGCAAGGTATTTGGGTTGTGTTCCTTGCTGCCCACCAGCCTGCTGCGTGCTCCAATGGCTTTCCCTTTCCCTAGGAGTGCACCGTCCTTCCCAGACATCCGATATCCCCGGTTTCTACCCGCTCCCTCCCGGCGGAGTCGGACAGATCACTCCTTCCATGGGATGGTGAGTGCAGCCGCTCCGCGTCGCCCCGGCCCCGCCGGCCCCGCTTCCCTGCGGGAATCGCTCCAGCTTTCCACTCCGGAATGGGTGTTAAACCTGTTCCTGATGGAGCACTCGTCCTGCCCACGTTGCTCCCACGGTTTGCGTGATGGGAGAGGTGGATAATGGGGAAGCAGATCCGTGGAAGAGCATGGCCGGACGCCTTCCTCCCGGGTGTGTGGCGGGATACCTTCTCCCTGGTATCTGCAAGCCCGTGTGCGCGGGAGCGGAGCAGGGAGCACGGCCGTGCCGGCTCCATGCCGCGGAGGAGTGCGCATGGAGATCATGGATGAGGATCCCAGGTCAGGCACCGTGGCCACRGAGGACATCGTGGGGCCAGCACAGGAGGACGTTTTGCAAAACAAGAGACGTGAAACATGTGAAAACACCGAGGGAAACGTTACGCCTTTTTTTTTTTTTTTTTTAATGAATTTTGCATTCCAGACATTTAACCGCAAAGAAGCAGAGGCTGAGGCCTTTGATACGGAGCGTGGCTTCAAAGAGATTACATTCTGCTAAATCCGCTCCTCTGGGATGCTTCAGCTCCCCACACGACGTGGTTCATCCTCAGGAAAAGCAGCACTGGAATGGGGGGCGAGGAGGGAGCCGCTTGCCGAAGGCCAGGTCCCTGCTCCAGGATGGGGAGCTGTTAAAGCAGGCTTCRGTACGCAGAAGAGGAAAAGAACAACAACAAAAACAGAGAAGATCCTGGTTTGGGAAGTGTTTTTGGCTGTTTGCTGGCCATGGAGGCCAGTGTCGGACACGGCATTCCCAGTCGGGCTGGAGGCAGCGAGGGGAAGCGCTCCCGGCAGAGCTTGCTGCCCCCCTTGCTGCTTTTGGTGCCTCGAATGGGCAAAAAAGGCCGGGAAACAGCATCCAAAGTGCTCAGAGAAGGTCCCAGCACCTGCTTCGGGGCAGACCCTTCCGTAGGGATGTGCMAAGAGCTGCTTTCGGCTCAAGCTCGGCTTCTCCCATGGGAATATYGGGGTCCCCATCCCAGGGTGCTGTGAGCCCTAGTTGCACCTTCCCAGCAATCAGGGGCCAGCTCTGCAATCAAATTAATTTGCGTGTCAGAATCGCTTTGGATAAAGCCGTGAGCACCATCATCCTTGTTATACTCCGCGGGCCCGCTGGAGCAGGGAACGTCGCTGTTGGATTGGCCCTGGATGGGTTTTCCCRAGCCCGGGGCAGGAATGCCAGACTTCAGAGGTCCTTGGGATTCCCGAGGGGCTGCCGCGGCGCTTGGCCATCTGCCGGCAGATAGATCATGTGGATCACCCCTCGACGGRGCCAGAAATGGGGGTTTTCACCCCCAAAAAGCACCCGTAGTGTCGTGGTTCCCTGTGGTTGGTAACCTCGAGCTGYTGCAGGGGCTCGAGGACTGGCCCCTGGTCCTGCGCCTTGAGCATCTTCCAGCCGCTCCGCTGGAAGGGCGTCTTGAGCTGTGTCTAGGCAAGAACGGAGCAGAGCGGCTGTTTTCCCCGCTTTGCAAGAGCAGCGAGCAGTTCTGCTCCTTTTGCTGCACCTTTTGCTGCTGCGGCAGGAGCCAGGGCTGGAGCCGCCTCATCCGCGCCGTGCCCGCATCTCCTGCTGCTCCGGTGGGGCTCGGTGACAGGGATAACGGGGTCCCACGGGGACCCCGCGGGGATGCCCGGCATCCCGCCAGGGCTCCGGCACGAGCGATGGGCACCGCCGCCCTCCCGAAAGGTCCTTGACGGCCTCTTTCTTCCCGCTCCCAGGCAGAGCCAGTCTGTCTATCCGCTGCCGTCCTGTGGATTTAGGCAGCCCTACTCGTCGGCGCTTCCCGCGGGGGCCTCTTTCTCCAGGTGAGTCCGAGCGGGCCGGCCGGGCGCCGCTCCGCGCGCTCCGCTCCGCTTGCCGCGCCTGCGGTCGGAGCTTGCCGAGCCCTCGGAGAGGCCGGCGCCGGGACGGAGAAGCCGCCGCCGGGACCCTGCCGCTGCCACTGGCTTTGCCGAGACCCGTGGATTCCCCCCGGCCTCCCGAGCCTGGATGGGCGGCAGGAGGAGCCTCCGCTCCCTGCGGCGCCGGCCCTTGCGAGCAACGCGCCCGCTTGTGCTTCTGCTTCGCCTCGTCCTGCCGCAGCGCCCAGCAGCCGCTTTCCCAACGGATTTCGCCCTGGCCAGCGGGAACTGGCCTCTCCCGGCCCGGCCTCGGCAGCAGGAAGGAGCCAACGGTCCCCGCAGCGAGGACGGGGCCGCCGGAGCCCGAGCGCACCCGGGCCGAGAGYGACCAGGCTGCAGCGAGCGAGACGAAGCCGCCAGCCCCTCGTGCAGCTCCTGCCCTTCGGATCGTGTTCAAACTCGGGCTTTTTTTGCCTCAAAAGCGCACCGGTGCCGGCCGCTCGCACCCAGGCGCCGGCAGCAGCTTGTTGTCTCGTGCAGCGCTAGCGAGTTGTGGCGGCAGCAGAGACGAGAGCGGTGAAAGCGCCTTTCAGGAGGGCGGTTTGCAGGGGGAGCCGCGTCGCGGGAGCCGCCGGTGCCGCCGCTCTTCCCTCCATGCAGCGCTCACGGTTGGTTTCTCCCTCGCAGGTTCACGCACCCGCTGATGCTGGGCTCCRGCATGCACACCACGGGCATCCCGCACCCGGCCATCGTGCCCCACTCCGGCAAGCAGGACATGGAGCACTACGACCGCAACATGTGAGTCYGCCGCACCCGCGCTCGCCCCGTGGGTGCTCGTCCCCGTGCCCTGCTAACTGCTTCCCTTGCCTTCCCACCAAGGAAACCTCAGCCCGAACCAAAGAGAGAGAAGGAAGCCAAGAAGCCCACCATCAAGAAGCCCCTGAACGCTTTCATGCTGTACATGAAGGAGATGCGGGCCAAGGTCATCGCCGAGTGCACCCTCAAGGAGAGCGCGGCCATCAACCAGATCCTGGGCAGGAGGGTGAGCGCAGCCGGCGCGTGTCCCCGGGGCCGGAGCAGCTCCGTGCCCTGCAGCACCTGCTCCCGAGGGTTTTGGGGGACGCGCGCTCCGTCGCCCGCCTCACCGCGCGCTTCTCCTTGCAGTGGCACGCGCTGTCGCGGGAGGAGCAGGCCAAGTACTACGAGCTGGCGCGCAAGGAGCGGCAGCTGCACATGCAGCTCTACCCGGGCTGGTCCGCCAGGGACAACTACGTGAGTGGCCGGCGCGCCCCCGGTTTCTTCCGAAAGACAAACTTCGCTTGGTTTTATTGCTGTAATTCCTGGGGTTTCCTCGTGCTGTGCAGCTAGTGCCATCCGGGACGCTTGTGCAATCACACGGAGAGAAATTCCCAATTCAGCGATGCCATGAACGTCCCCCCGGCTGTTCGTCCTTGCACCACTGTGGCCTGAATGTTATGTGTAYGGAGGAGCTCCCTGCACTGGGAGCTTCCCATCGCCTTTCCCAAACCACGGGAATTCTCATGGAAAGGCACAGGTGGAAGCCGGCTCTCCAGCTGGCTCTCTGTGGAGGACGTTGTTATGTAGTTGGGGTCGGAGAGGCAGTCTGGGGCTAAAACTCTGTTTTCCCATTAATGAGGGAAGGGAACAGGAGTGATAGGTGGGTTCTGAGCTGGGAAAGAGCAGAGATGGGTGTTCCCAGGGGCCGGGAGTCCCTAGAAACTCGCTTTYCTTCAAAATCAGGGAAGGTGGAGGGTGCTAAATGTGCCGAGTGCTTTCCAGCCACATGGCGACCCACACACAGAGCCCGGATCCGGACAAAACAACGGGCATGAGGCTAGTGAGGTCACGTTGCCACGGCTGCATGGGCTAAATCTTGTTTAATTCCACTCAACAGAGCAAAAACGGTTCAGATGCTGGGGATTAGTGAAAGCCCCCACGGTGCGCGGCTCAGGGATGCTGGAAGCGATGCGGTGATTAACGAGCTTTTCCTTTCGTATCCCAGGGGAAAAAGAAAAGGCGGACACGGGAAAAGCAGCAAGATTCCAACTCAGGTAAATGCCCCRGTGCTAAGGCGAGCGCGCTGCTCCGTAGTCGTCACTTTGGTTTTGCTCCAAGTGGATTGTCCAAGGGAAAAGCAGTTGCCATGTTTTATTCATTCTCCTGACCTTAACTGAAAAAATATGTTTTTTTCCTTTTTTTAAGGCAGAGTAAATTCACGTTTCTGCGGCTTACAGGCATGTGTCTGAATTAGAACATGGGTAGTTCAGGAAAACCGAAAAGATGAAGCTTTAGCGAGTGCATAACAGCAAATAAGGTGTCCCTGAAGTTACTTCACGCCAAGCAGTGTCCCCGTCATGTCTTTTTAACACAGCTGAAGAAAACGGTTGAAAAGTTGAGATTGGACATCAATGTTGGGGGAGGGAACCAAATGCAGTGAAAAGCATGAAGGTCACCTAGGAGAATGCCCCAAAAAACCCACTTTTCTTCTCCAAGTAACCTCCTGTTCAGTTCAGGTGGTAGCAAAGACACGCACAGCAGCACGGCRGGCCTCTTCACTCTACCAAGTTCTGTTTATCAGGAACCTCTGGGCGGTTTTTCCCAGGCCTCATCCCAGACTGTTCCCACGTGGAGTTTTGAAGCATTCCTGCTTTAGCAGGGTAAAACCACCCCTGCTGCGGGGTGACCCTTGCAGGGTGCTGCCTGCCGGCTCCGCACGCTCCCAGCACCAAGGAGCAATTCCAGCCCTACACATGTGTAGATGTGTCCCAGGAAGATCATCAGTTTAGGTGACGCTGCTGTTCTCATTAAGTGCCCAGACGGGAGCTATGAGTTTGTAGTGTTAGGTATACATGTTGTAGGCGCAGTATAAAAATGATGGTAGGTCCCGTATTTGTACGTCGATGGTGCAGCATTTTCGGAAGCGCGCGGCCGGGAYGGGTTTGGGGCAGGCAGAGCAGCGCTGCCCGGGCTCCTTGGTGCCACCTCTGCTTCCCGCCTGCTTCCGCACCTTTCCTGCTCTTCTCTGCYACGCGGGAGGTGCCCGGCAGCCACACGGCACCTCGCTCCAAATGGAGGCCTGGGACATGCCCGGAGCACATGGATGGGGAAGGCGACGGCCGAGCTAGGGAAGTGCAATGGAGTGAGAGCCAGAAATGCCCCAGCTCTCCAACCCTCCCGCTGGACACGAGCTCTGCTATGTGCCTAACRGCCCCTTTTTTGCAGGAGAGGTGGTGCCCGCGCGGCGGCGGCGCCGGCCCCGGCTGCAGCCTGCTAGGGACCTTAAACTTAAATGACGTTGCCTCTTTTCTCCCCGCTGCTGCCGCTGCTCTCTCTGTGCCTCTGCTTGCCCGCTCCCGCCGCATGCCCCTCTGCTCAGATCCCGCCTCTCCCAAGAAATGCAGAGCCCGCTTTGGCCTCAACCAACAAACGGACTGGTGCGGCCCGTGCAGGTGTGTATGGGGAACCTCTCCGCGGCTTCTCCCGGGCTCCTTCCCCCTGCTCGCCCCAGGGGCCAGCTCCACATTTTGCCCTGGCAGCCACAGGCACGTTSTGGTTTACGTGTTTTTTGGGGTTGCTGCCATGCCTGGTGGTAGAAGTTTCTATTTTTGGGGGTGTTGAGGCGTTTCTCCTCCTTGCTGTGTCTCTGAGAAGAGTCCTGCTGTGGGATCTCCTTGCAATGATTCCCTATTGCAGAAATACTCTTCTGTGGCCCATAGTGAGCAGCCAAGGTGCTGCTCTATTCTGGTTCTACCTGGTTCTAGCCCTGGCCTAGAGATCCAGCTCCTGCTGCCTCTGCAAGCGGCCGGAGCTTTCCCTGCGTTAGGGCACGATGACCTCCAGCAAGGACACGTCTGCTGAGTGCTCCGTGACCTGCAAAGGACTGAACCCATAAGGGCAAATCTTTAAGCGTAAGCCAAATAAATATGACCTGGATCAGAGTGTCTTCCAATAGACCCAGGTGGAAAAAGGCTCCCAAGCCAGGAGAAGAGGCAAAATTAGTTATTCTCCCTGAATGTGAATCGTGGAAATGTGGTTGCTCAGATCTGGACACTGCTTGGTCCCTGATCTCAGCAGCAACCAAAGTGATAACCAACAGTGTCCAAGTGCTTGGGATTGACCCCCAACTAGCTGAGAATAGCAACCCTATCTTATCAAGCCTATRTTTTTCAGCTGACTGTACCCTGCAGGAGGCCTGTCACTGCCCTGGCCATGAGCTCAGTGTCACCGGGCCAGAGGAAGGAGGCTGAGCAAGGTCTTTCAAGTAGTTCTGGCTGATCTGAACCAGCAAGCGCTTTATCTTTCTTCCAGGGTATTTTTTATTACTTAATAATAGCTTAGGAGCACCCCACACTTGCATTTGGCACAGTGGCTGATGCCACTCAAGCATTATTTTTTCCTAATTAGTAGACTGGACAGAACTCCCTTAATGCTTCATTAATACTTTCCCCCCAAGTGCCTTGAGGAGAAATGTCTTACCAATATTTCGTGTTTTAAATGAAGACCAACGTCGAGGTGGCTGCAGGTCTTGGGCAGCTTCATTTGAACTCTCCCAGCTGAGCCCCAGCGCTAACCCTTCGCCTCGCTTGCCCCGTAACACGGCTGCTGAACTGCTCTTACACCTCAGCATGCTCTCTTGGGTTTTGTTTCCAACCTTTGCCACTCAAACACTGTTAGTAACAGCTGTTCTGCAACTTCCAGTACTAATGTGCTGCTGCCAGCACAGGGACTTCTGCCACGTATGAGCTGCYCCTGGTATCTGCTGGGAGAACCTGCCACCAGAGAAGCTCCCTGCCAGGCCAGGAGGCCTTTAACTGGTTGAAACAGCGAGTTTCTGCATCGGAGGTTTCACCTTCCTCCCCATCACAGGGCAAAATGGTCCAGGAGACCAGGGATATATAGGTGGATGGATGGATGGATGGATGGATGGATGGATGGATGGATGGATGGATGGATGGATGGATGGATATCTCCTTTTAGCTGAATAGTTGACATGTCAACTGTAGGTCGCTAAAGGGCTCGTTTAGTCAGTAGTCTGTAACATCAGGTCTGCTCTTTGTCTGTATTGGTAAACCAAACCAGATCTGTGTCTTGATGGATACGTCCTGTCGTCTTATAAGAGGTTTTCGAAGCTSTTCTTCTTCTAGCATCTACTTCTGAAATGGCTGAGGAAAACTCAACTTCTCCCAGGGTTTGTCCACACTGTAAAATCACAGCCAACATAAAAGGACATAGCGCTCAGTGTTCAGGGTAGCAGAGCTGTCATGTTTCCTATCACATTGATTGGGCCACTACGGCTAACCACGACACTGACCCTAGTGATGCTGCATCTCTAGTTCACATCCAGGACCAAGGCCAGGACCCATTTCGTATGGGACTGGTTGATGCACGTGCCCACATGGTCTGGTTTTGGTCAACAGTGGAGTTGTCAAGGGATGTGGTGAAATCAGTCCCAATCCAGGCCTGGAAAGGGTGATGTAGGACTGCTTCCCAGGGGACTTGCTGCTAGAAAAGYGGAGATTTGGAGGTAGTTGCCATCATTTGAAGACTTAGCTATGTGGTCTTTATTGCATAAAGACAATCTTTAATAAAACTTCCCCCAGCTCTATCTGTCATGCTCTGTTAAAAGGAAGTATGGAAAAACAGCTTTTGAAGCACAGGTCTAGTTACAGGCTCATTCAGATACTTCTTGTTCGGTCTAATCTCCCTCTCTTTAGGGTCCRTCCACATTGTACTTGCATCTTGCATCTAAGGGGCAATTCACACTCCTCTCTCCTCGCCCAGAAAAGCCATGGGCAMTGCCGTGAATATCTTCTGTCCTTAGCTCAGTCAACAGAGGAGCAGTCTAGCAGGTGCTCTGCCCTCCAACGAGTTACACAAGTCACATTGGGCTTCCCATGCTCWCTGTGGGGCTAACGTCCGAAACATCCAAAATAAGGGATCTCAGGTCCAAAACAAGGGATCTCAGCTCAGACCACCTCTTCTTCCAGCCAGTCCAAGCATAGATGTGGCCCACGTGCTGTGATGGGGCCATTGCACCTAGTCCCACACGTACCCACCACRTGCAGGGGCACGTTTGGGGCACGCAGCAGTCGATAGGGGCTCCTACTTTTCTGCAAAGCTCTTTGCAAARGATAACCTCATGGAGGAGGCTACAGAGCAGCAGCTCTACCCTTTGGTTGTGGGGCCGCACGTGGATCCCCGGGGCTGCAGGAGGGAGCGGCGGCGGCGCGTCCCCCCGCACGGTGCTCTCTGTGACCCTGCCTTCACCCTTTATTCACAGATAACTCTCTCCACTGTTCTTAGGAGGAAAAAGAAGTGCATTCGGTACTTACAAGGAGAAGGACGCTGTGCCAGCCCAGTTTCTTCCGATGGAAGTGCTATAGACTCCCCTCCCTCTCCCCCGGACGCAGCGCAGCGCGCGCCCTCGGCGTCGCCTCCGGACGAGCCCGCCGCCCCYGCCGCCCCCCGCGCGCCCCGCGCCCCGCGCCCCAAACCCGCCGCCGCCGCCGGCACGTAGCCCCGCCGCCCGCCCCGCTCCAGCGGACCCCAGCCCCCCCTTTCCCTCTCAAACTGGCATTGGCTAAAAAAAAAACCCGCCGCCGCCGCCGGCACGTAGCCCCGCCGCCCGCCCCGCTCCAGCGGACCCCAGCCCCCCCTTTCCCTCTCAAACTGGCATTGGCTAAAAAAAAAAGAAAAAGAAAAAAAAAAGTTAAAAAAAAAGTTAGGATTTCCCAGCGTTGGAGGATGCGGGGGAATTCGTTTGGTTTGGGGGAGGGGGTTTAAGACAGCTGATAAAAAAAAGGTAAAAGTTCTTGCCAAATTGGAAAGCGCTGATGAGTAAACAAGGCTTTTGTCCCTGCCCTGTGCTGCTTTTTGTTTTGCTTTTTTTTTTGKTTTTTTTYCCTGCATCACCTCTGCAGAAAGCAAAGCTCGAGGCCCCGGCTTGCCCAGTAGCTCCTAGGTGCTCTCTGTTGCCCCCCGCTCCCATTCCCTGCGCGGGAGCTGCTGCCAAGCGCAGGGAGCCCCAGCCCTCCTGCAGTGTCACCCCGCGGCGCTGGAAAAGCTGCCWTGGGAGCTTTGGTTTCCAGCCCTCCCGCCCAAAGACGACGCATAACGATGCTGGGTTGCTGCTCTGACCGGCTCACGGGAAAGCCAAAATACAAATGAGGTGAATTTTTTGAAAACTTCTTGTTGGAGAACAGGAAAATATTGTTTACAGGTAGCGGGTCTGCGTGCAGACGCACCGTCCGGGYGCCGGGTGCTCTTTGGGATTTCTCCCCGTAGATCCGGATTGCCGCGATTCTCCTAAAAGAGCCCGTGCAAAGGCTCCAAATGCAGTTTGCTCTGCAACAGCCCCTGCACCCCGAGCACTCGGGGCGGCCGGTTACCGGGACGGGCTGTCCCGCTGCCGCTCAAGGCACGTTTCTGCTCGGCAGATCCGGGCTGCAGGACGGGGCAGTTGGCGCCAGCGCCCTTCTCAGGCCTCCCCTTCCCGGGGTATTTCCAAGCACTGCCCTGCTCTCCGCTAGCGCCTCCATCTGGGCTCCTCCTGGAAAAAAAAAAGATAGAGTTTTAACAATTTGGTAACTTGAAAAAAAAAATAGCTTTTTCTAAAAGATCCTCCCTTCCACCCCGTGATGGTGCCAAATGTTCGTGTCTTCTCTCCAGCTTCAAAACATTGACCYGTTTCTGGTGTTTTATTTATATTTTGAGCTTGATAAACAAAAAACACTGTGGGCAGATTCTGATCTCCGTAAACTGACGTAAGTCCTATTTTAATCTGCGACTATTGGATTTATTCCAGATTTACACACTTGTCACGGAGATCACGCTCTAGTCCTCTGCCTACTTTTTTTTCCCTGCTTCAAAGAAATCCTAGACTGCTGAAGAGAAAAATAACACACGGAGGGAGAGAGGCGTCTATTTTTTTCTACTTTACAGAATAGAATTTAGAGTACTGAATACAAATAATGTAGTAATATTATTGTAGAACTGCAAGAAATTTAAGATGACCTTTATAATGTACAAAATATTTTTATATTTTTTCTTAATGCAAAAAAAAACACCCACAACCCCCTAATTTTTTACATTGGACTAAACATAACTTTTTAAACAAGTTTATGTGTCAAAGACTAAATTTTTTTCTGCAAAAAAAGCAACAAACCCTGATTAGTCTGTAGAGCAGCTTTGGGTTTATTCCTTTTGGGTATTTTTGCTTATAGTAGAATAGATTTTTTTTAACTCTAGTTTTAGGTTAGAAGATCTAAATCCATTGCTTTTATTCCTCTCCTGTGTAAACGTAACTGCAGAAGCACTGAAAGTTATGGGCACGGATTGAGAAGAGTCCACATAACCCTTAGAGCAGCAGCATTATCGGAACAGGCTGCGAACTGCGGCTTCCACGTCCTGCCCTTCTCGCACTCAGAGGGTTACTCCATAGCACTAGATCAACATGCAATCTGCTAGTACTTAAATTATTTTAGCAAGTTTAGACAACAGCATGGCCTAGTGCCAAGCAGAGGAATTCAGACTTCCCAGGTCCGACAGACTTTCTATGACTTGATGTGAAAGAAAATTGTTTTCAAGTCTCAGCTGACCGTTTTTTCACGTTGAGACCCTCTGCAGTAAGGTGCTGTGTAAGTGTCAACTATTGGGAAAAAATGTGGATTGCAAAGCAGCAATAATGCCCATTAGTTGTCTAGCATAGCTCAAAAACTGGGTTTAAAACAGGAATAACTCGCACCTTCTTGGTGTTTTGTGGTTGCACGGAACAGATTCAAGTCGGCAGCAAGGCAAAGGTGGGTATAAAAGAGAAGGCAGATGTGTTTTAATAACATCACAGGAGGTTAGGGGGAGAGYCCTGCACAGAAGCTGTGCCTCTTGACCAAGGGCCAAGCAGCACTAGCATGAACAGAACAGCCACATTCATTTGAGCTCCCTGGCGCCTCCATGCATTTATTTCAAGGCCATTCCCAGCCCGGGATGCTGCTTTGCAGACTCACCTGGAAAAGGCCCTGCAGCTCCTCCGTGGCCTTTTCCCCTGCGGCTGCTGCAGGATGCGGGTGCTGCGCCCAGGCAGGCTCAGCCTGACGCAGCAGCCTTGSTCCCACCTTCTGCCCTGCTCCGCATGGACAGCTCGCAGCCAGACTTCATCCTCTGCTTCCATCCACCACCACAGAAGCTCGGGCCTCCTGGTGTAACACAGCGTGGTCAGCTCATCCTGGGGGAAGCKTCACTCTTCCCAAAACATGCAATAGAGAGGCCTCCGAGCTGACCCTTTCCAAGGCAACGTAGGGAGCAAGACCTTTTTCTTCCACATGCCTTTGGGGAATACTCAATGTCAAACCCGAAAAAAAAATACTCTTATGGATACCAAAAAAGTGTCTTTAGAATTACTATATATGAAGTGTTACTATTCTGTGTTAATACTTTTTAATAGAAGGAAATCTTTCCCCGTAAGATTTTATCACAACAAGATCCTTTCTTTTAAGTTTTTACAGCATTTTCAACTCTTTAGAATTACACATTTGGATTCCTGAAACCAGTTTGAATGTAGAAGTCATGGAAATACCACTTCTTTAAACCAAGCAAAACCACTGTATGTATGTAGCAGGGATAAATGTTTTGCAGCTGTACTTTCATTTGTCCAATGACTATCCACCATTTGTTGTAATTTTTTTTACTTCACTGGGTTTGTATTTTTTGGCTTTTATGTTCAAAATATGTTTATAGCTTTATAAATAAAGTAATTGCCAGACYGGCTGTTCAAAATAGGCCACTGGAAATTATAATCCTGTAACACTGTCAAATAATTATTTCATAGAATTGAAGAAGACTCCTGCATTTTTTCAATTTTATGTTATTTATGATATTTTTTAGCAAGAGCCTCCAGTAGGCAGGGCTGAAATGTTTCATAAATCAAAAATCTTAAGTCAAGACCAAGGAAAGTATCTTCTAGCTAAAAACCTCCCCACTGACAGTCTACTCCCCATCCCATAAGACRGGTTTTGCCTTGATTTGAAAATAAGCAAGGCAGCAGCACACAAGTTATTTAACTTTGCATTGGGCGGGATGTCCACCAAACCATTTGGTGACYGTTTTTAGCAGAAAGGGAGCCAGGGCAGCCTCTCACCTCTCCAAGGGTTTCCAAGCTAGCAAGCACCTACTGCAGCAGCCAGTTACCAAGTCCAGCTGCATATCCAGGCCATCTCCCCACACCTTCATGGAAGGTGCCAAGGGTTAATGCTGTTGGAAGGGAGCAGATAAGCACAGACCCACCTTATCCAGCACCTTGAGATTTTTTTTCCCCACTTTTTAAGCCCACATACATTTCATGGAGCTAGAGGATGTGAATCTGGTGTCATCTCCGACAGGCTCTAGTGGGGAATTCCATGAGAAGACAGATGCTGCATGCACTCCTAATGACTAGGAGAACAACACACTAAGACTTGKCACAGCTATGTAATCTTTTAACTCTCGGTAAGTGCTTTCTTTGGTTTACCAAGTGCAGAGACTTTTTAAATAAACATACTACTGTGCTTTACTGCCCAAGTTAGGGGGCTGGAGGTATTTCAGGAGGTGGTGACTGGCTGCACAAGGCTGGAGTCAAGGCAAAAGCCRCTGCTCCACCCTTAAGACAGACACAAGCAGTGCTCTCGCGGGTCAACTGCTCTAGTGAGTCTTACCAGAGTTACCAGGTCAGAGGTGTATTYGATTCACAGCACAAAGATCAGTCATGGTGAGTTTTCCCTCTAGCGATCCTTATGAAGTGAATTTTTAAAAAAAAAGAAAAAAAAAAAAAAGAGGCTCCATCCTACAGCCACATCTGTAACACTGGAGTATTTTACAACAGCACAAATGCAAGCACGGCAGCCACGTGAATAAACAGATGTGACAGGCAGCTGGATCCAACACATGGTTCCCAATGGAGCTTCAGAAGAGTCATGAACTTGCACTAACAGGTGCAAAGTAAACTGATTACCTAAAAGCCAGAAAGCCAGCAAAAAGAGTCAATATCCATCTGGATTGTGCATTCCTTACCTCCAGGATTAGTTTCAGAAGTTGCCCTCAGTGGCTGTGTAGTGGCCTCCACGAGAGTGTAGTAAAATGTTCACATCCATTTGTTTCAGTGCTACTATATGTACAATCAGTAATGAACAGAAGGAGGGTTGTCTAGTTTCAAATAACTAGAACCATTTGCAAACAAAAGTTTAAAAGCCCTTTATTAATTCCAAAGTGAAACACTGATATTTTAAAGTGAGATAAGTATGTTTATTAAGGTTCATTCTACTCTAAGGTTTATACAGAGAATGGAATGCAATACAAGCTAAGAGCACACCTCAAAGACCTACCACACAACCATCCCCTACTCCCTATAAGGGAACTGTAAAAAAAATTAAAATAAAATAAAAATAATCAGAAAACCAGTTACTATTTAACTAGTTGCAAGTGGCTTTGTCCAAAGAAGTCAAGCTCAATATTGCATTAGCTTCATATGCAATAATCAAGTCTCTACAAGCTGAAGTATCACATACAGAGGCAAAAAGATTTCCTGTGGACACATGAAACCATGTTTTAAAGAGCTACATCACAAGGGTTGTTTAAAATTGCCTAAAAACAGCCACTAATGGCATGCACAGGTCAATAATATTAACTTTGGTAATGTCAGTCATATTTTTTGGTCAAGCCTGGATTCCACTGTTAACATTAAAGGGTGTATAGAACAAGCCTGTCCTGTGCACAAAGCGAAGCACTTCGTCTGCTACCAGCTAGAGGCAGGTCTTCAAGACATGGTCAAAATACTCCAATGTATCTGTGAGAAGCTTGCTCCGTTCTAGATCATGTTTTTGCTAGTCCATCAGGCAAGACTAACACGACAAGAAAGTGGTCAAAGATTTCCCTACCTCCCCCCCCCACCTTCCTTTTTCTTTTAAATGCAGAACAAGATCCATCTTTAGAGCTATACAGCTTTAATTAATACTATTTCTCTCATATAATCCTTTCAGAAGAAATCCAACAACTTTGACTAGTTCCCCGAGACACTTCCTAGTTTTGCTCTGCCTTTCTTTGAATTGTCAATACCCTGTGAATAAAATGTTTTGTTCTGGCTGAGGGGAAAAAATGAAGGTGGTTTTATTTACAATGGAAGGGTCTGAATGCTTAACATTTTAACTAGATTTGAACAGTTAAAAAGTGTAATGAAAATGACAACCTTAAGTGCTACTTCCCATACAGAATCCACACTTAATTCAGTTTTATTCATTGCAGAGTAAAGTAAAAAGACATCCAATTACACTAGTAAAAACTCAGAGAATTTAAATTGGTACTCAAAAAACACTACACATGCAAAGGGAACAAGATCCTGCTAACACAACTTCATTTGCTGCTGCATTTGTCTAATATTAACAATTATGAACAGAGCAGTGCAACTAGTATTTGGAACAATCCTTACAGTGTTTGAGAATCAGGCACAATTCTTCACTTCTCTTCACACCACTGGTTCTCTTTACGTACCTGAAACATATTACATTAACAGTTAACATGCTGCAGTCAAGCTGAAGTGTTGCTCTAAATTCCCATAAGCATTCAGAATTACATACTGCAAGATGGCACTGACTTATAAGCTGGTTGTATTTTTTTCCAGGGTTTGTAATTAAAAGGCAAACTTCCTGACTGACCTCCATCTMTATAAATTGAAAGACTTATGCCTTTTGTTGATATTTGACAATGTAACTGTCAAAAGCAAATGACCACCTTAAAAATAGTCCGCTTCATGACACAGCATCCGAGACAACCCAAGGCCTGAAATTCACTGCCTTTTCAATCTAAATGTCTTGGTCTGATCTTCCAATTTAGCCATTTTGTTTCCATGTTCAAGCTGTAGAATCAATATGTTCATCACTTAAAGAGGAGTATCTGAGCACCTCATCTTCATAGCCTCACACAACACTGCATTGTTACYAGGGCTCCAAAAACAGCATCCTGAGGCTGCCACGAACCAGCCTGTATTTCTTCTTATGAGACATTCATCTGAGCTAAGAAATCRAAGTGCCTCTTTGGACTTTCCTCAGCTAATGGGCACAGTAGACACCAGAAGATCTTCCACTAATTACAACCAAATTATGAGAGTTAATATTAGTCTACTTATATTAATAGCACGTTAGTTGCATCAGACAACAAGTTTTTGTGAAGTACCACATTAATTCATCATGAAAATTAAAGCCCTAGTTCTATCTGGAAAGCACGATAGATGTTCACTACTGAATGCTGGAACTACATCTTCACTATGTAAGCCAGCTGAACTATAATTAAACCCAGATCATCTAGTACCTGTGCTTCTTCCTCCTCAGTAAAGTCATTCTTAATATTGAATGTCTTGCGAATTTCTTCTGGAGTCTTCCCCTTGATCATGTTTGCAACTGTCTTGCATGTGACATCAAGCAAACCTTTGATGTCAAGGTAATTTGCAGCCTGTAGGGGAAAAAATCCAAATTTAAAGCCTTCATGTTCATGTTGGTTATTTACTAAAAAGAAATGCTTAAACTGAGAACATAGAATGCTGTATACTTCTGATAAAGCTCCAAACTGATAAACTTCTTCCAAGAACTCTGAAATAAAAGGCATCTAGAGCTTCCTGCCAAACAAAAAAAAAYGAGTTTTGTATCATAAGAGATGCCCATTTAGAAAATGGCCTTCAGTCTTGCAAACACCCACGATCTTAAATGCTGCCAGCTAGCTAAGTAATAGGAGTCGCAGTACTACCAAGATACACATTTTAAAAATCAAAACTAATTTCAAAATTTATATTCAAATCACCACTGAAGGCTCAATTTCAAGTAAAAAGTGCTCAACTAAAATTTAAAAGATAGAAGAGGGGAGGAAAAAAATAAAAATAGTACAGCTGGAGACTCTCAGGTTCAGAAGAGTTTAAAATATGAACATCAGTAGGTGAACACATAGATTAATGCTTAGCATCAAGTGAACAATTTCACTCTAAAGTATCAAATAGAAATTGTCTAAACTTTCTGTGCCTCCTCCCCCTGCTCCATCCTCCCCAGAAGAAACTATTCAAATAGGATTAATGATTAAAGCAGACAAGTGGAGGGCAGATACAGTCTTTACACTTCTGGAGCACACTTACCAGGATAAGTTCAAAGAGGGTTCCTTGGTCTACTTTCAGGAATTCTTGATCCCACACAGGGATGTCATCTGTTCTTTTTTCTTTGTTCTCATCATCCTCAGGAGGAGGTGGATCATCTTTGTGATGGGTGCACCACTGAATCACCTGATTTTGATATTTAATATTAAAGTTTCATTCCAGAGATTCTACTATTAATATGCAAACACAACTCCAGTTTTAGAACTGCACCTTTTTCTCTAGGTTAACGTTACAGAAGTGATGTACTAGCAAGTCCCATTATCTTTATTTGATTTTGGTCTCGGAAGAGTCAAGCTTCCATATTCCAATACAGGAATGCAACAGCCTTGAAGAACCCCGCTGGAGGCAGCAGCTAGTCAGAATCTTAAAGGTAGCTGCTGGTGTAAAGGTCCTGGCTAGTTCACACAGTGTGCAAACAAAGCTTAAACCTCATTTTGAGGTGTTTAAACTGTTTGCTGAACAAGAAACAAGTAATTCCTGTTAAGCAAAATACTACATATGGGAAGATCTGGGAGTGGTACAGCACATCAGCAGGACACGTTCCCCCCAGCACAAAGGACACCTGACAAAACTTTGCATGTTTCCACATTACTTGAATTGTATTTATTTTTACACTGTCTCATCTCCCTGATAATTAAAAGGAGAATGGATCAGCTGCAAGGAAAATCCTATGGCATCCTGCCAAACTAAGCCACAGCTTCAGAAGTTGCATTATTTACACACATTTTCACTAGAAAATAATTCTTAACCCTGTACTTATCCCAGTTCATTTTAGCATTTACTTTGGCTCAAAACTTTCCACTACAGAGCAAAAAGCATCTCAGAATAGAGCCATATACTTGTTTTTGCTTTCCTCGTTTGACCAAACAGCAGACCAAACGGCCTATTATTAAATTTAACAGAGCCAAGCATCTGCAGTCTCTAACTGCAGCACAAGCACAACACCCACACCGTGCACTCAGTGCCAGTGACCCCACTATTTGTTCCTTAAACTTTTCCCCTAATACTCAGATCTCAAGAACAGGCACTTCTATTCATAAAATCCAATTGAAATTGGTGCTTTAATATCATGAAATGATAATATGCCTTTACAGCAACTCTGCCATTAGTTCCATATTTTCACCCAACACTACCATTTTCAGCACCTTACCTTTTTTAAAATAGCAGCATTAACATTTGGAAGAGGGACTGGGTCATCATCACCTTCATCATCCATTCCCAAATCTGAAAATGGAAAGACAACTAAGCAAAAGACTGGCTAAGACATCTTCTCCAAGCTGGACTGCTTCACTAATACAATGAAGTGAAGATCTCCAAGAAAGCCTGCAGGCGTGTGCTTGGCGGCACTGCACATACTCCACTGCACCAAGGTTACTCCAAAGTAACTAATAACACTACCCAAGTGGACAAGATGTTGATATGCTTTGAATATCAACAGTCTGTTAACCAGTCAGTTGCTTGTTAAAACAGAACTTGCTAGTTTCATGTTCTGGGAATGAAATGTGTCAAAATTAGAAGGCAAATATGTAAGTATTTTTACCATTTTCAAGAGTTCAAGATGCAGGTTAAAACCAAGTGTTCCAACTGAGACCTCCCATTCAATTTATTATTAAACAGGCACTCAGAGCTGCTGTGTCAAGCATAATGTTTTGTCCTCTACACAACAGTACACAGTGCAGCCATAAAGATGCCAATTGTGGCCTCTAAAGTATCTGTATTGAGCCTTACAAGCCACATAAATTTACAAGCTAAGGCAGCAAAGCACTTGGAAAGCAAGGCTTTGATAGCTTCCATTTTAAAAGCTCATCGGCATCCTCGAAAAAGGCTTTGTCAGTTTGCACTCTTGACACAACTGAAAAGTCTCCAGTCAAAATCTGAGCAGAGAAGCAAACTTAAAAACTAAGATTTAGCTAAGGTGCTATTTATTCTGTGCTTTGGATCTAACACAGATCTAACACATGCTAGTCTTTGGATATTACTCTGTCTGTCCTAGATGAGCGTGCTGCATCAGCTCTGAAATTCAGTAACTGCACAACAGACCTTCACTCGGAGATGAGCCAGTTTTACATGACTACTGCAYGTACTGACATACATGTACTATGAACTTAAGAATTGCCACATGACTAATCATATTTGTTCCAGGAATTAAAAGGGCACTGACTTGCCTATATACAGAAGCACACTACTGCTGTCACCAGGGGAATATTAATCAGTATTAGTTTTTGTTTGGAATAACCAATTTCAAAGGCTCACAGGTTAAAATACTGACATTAAAGAGTACTTTATTAGTAGAAACTTCAAATGCATACTTTGAAATTAATGGCAGATACCACTGTAAGAAGTGACCTGTTGGTCTGTTCACAGCTGTTGGTGTAAGGAAATAACACAAGTAATGGCAGYTCTGGCCACTGTACCTGCACTCTTCCCCAACCCCTCCAAGAGGGCAGTTTCATCTCAGAGCTCACAGTTTAAGAGTAATGTCATGATGCTCGACAAGCCCACCTTTAAACTCTGCCCCTTTTCACTGTTGTATCCACTATAAAAAGCAGGTCACACTGCTCTTTTGGTGCCTCGATTACAGTGTTTTAGCACATGCAGCTTCCCTTTCACAAATACCTGGAGTCACTGAGCCCGTGCCACAGCTCCTCCAAGAGACACCTGGCAGGAGCTGCACCCTGTAACGTGTCCCAGCTGCCTGCTACACTTCTGGGTCATCTCACCTGTATTCTGCTGGTCATGTTCAACAGCATCTTATGAATCAATTTAAATGATGATATAAAATGCAAATATTAGATGGATGAGTCCTTCAACCTTATTTTATTACCATTTGAAAATATCAGGTCTTCTAAAGAGCCTTAAAGATTCACACTCCTGTACATTTACAGAATGATTTTTTGCTAATGCATGAATATACACAAAAACCTAAAAAAAAAAAACAGTAAACAAAGAGGACTTGCACTAGCCAGATTAGACACAGTTTGCTCTATCGCAGCCATCTGGCGGATTTCCCCTCCCCCACCACAAGCTCTTTTGTCTCAAATTTATGTCAGTGAGATCAGCACTAAGTATTTATCTCAAATAATTTAACTGCCTCCATAAGTTCACAATACTGGTTTCACTTCAGTTCTTTATTGATTGCATTAGTTTATGACCTTGCCGCCTGTCCCCCAATTCCACATGAGAAAAAAATATGTGGAAATAATGAGATTTATTTGTATTTTAAAGCAAACCAAGTAAGCTCTCTTTCACAACACTGAAGCAGGCAATGCAATCAGGATATACATTTTAGTAACCTCCCAATAAYTGCACTTACCAAGGCAGATGAACTTTAAGGTTTTTGAGTGCACATTCACTCAAAACAAACTCTAAGCTACAGCAGAAATTGTTCCAGCTCTTTTGGCATGAGATAGCAAGCTATTTCGTAAGCCTCAATTCAATTCAGCACAGTACTAATTTGTGCTCTTTTGTCCAAATTCCTCCCCAAACACACTGCTACCTCACCACAAGCTAACAATCCTCACAGCTTCTCCCTCTTACCTTCCAGCATAGTCTTTATAGTCACAGACTGCTTTGCAATTTCAACATCAACTTCAAAGATTTCTCCATCTGAACTCTGCAGTTTAATTGAAGGCATCTATAAGAGAAGGACAGTTATTTCACACAAGGTTATGCACACACATATACAACAAAGTTTGACTACCTTGGTTGCAAGTTACCTTATTCATATTGCTTCTTACTTGCAGAAAGTAGAGCACTGTCATTCGTGCACACTCAACTATTTGCCTYTTGGATCACTGACAGGGCTAAATTCACTAATTTGGATGTTCAAGAAATTAAATTGAAAGAAGTGTAGCACCTAATAAAAAAGCTCTCAAATTTAAAAGCCTARGAGTGCCATAAAATTGATTAGCCCCGGTAACACTTGCATTTTTGCAGTCTAATACTAGAGCTATCTTTCTCCTGAATTTAGGTGACAAGCACACTACTTGTTTGCAAATGCAAACAGCTGGTACTCATCATAATTACTCAGCTGAAGCCCAATCCAAAAGCAGTTTTGAATTTCTAGTTCCTGGAACCAAATCACAGGATACTTGATTACGGGAGGGACCTACAGAGATGGCCTAGAGCCCCATACCCCCTATTCAAAGCACAGTGAACCAAACAGCTATTCAAGATTCAACAGTTCTCCTTCAGAAGGATGTTTAGCCTTCTGAAGAGATTAAAAACAAAAAGAGAACTCGCACAATATACCGCTATAAGGAAGGTTTTCAGCACCTTACACTACTTTTACAAAGTAGGAAGTTACATCAGTACCTTGCCAGTATTAAGAAATGAACACAGTTTTGGGCACAAACTGTGATAAGAGCTGCAACACAAACAGCAGCTGGCTTTGAAGATTATGCCATGGGTAAAACAGCAATTGAGCTTCACTGAAACACATCTTCCCAAATATTCAACACCTCCAAASCAGCACTAACAGACTTGATTCCGCAGACACTGGTTACAGCCTCTGGCTGAAGCTTCACATCGAAGCCTAACCGCGCATCACTGCGCTTGACTCAATCGACTAGAAGGACACACAACTGCCTGGYTGCAAAAATTTTATGCATCTTAACTACACAGACTAATGGGATGCATGTTATAACACATTTCTGTTGTTGTTTTACCATTCAAAAGACTTCTTTGCAGCAGACAATTGCAATATTTTTTCCACAAGTTGCTCGTTTAAAAGTCCCCAAAACACGTTTAGAGATATAACCCGCAAGTCCCTTTTAAAGACAAAGGGCAGACACAGACAATTACCATTTTCACACATTCATCTCCTGCCACACTGAAGATCTCTGCAGGTGAGTTCCTTAGAGCAGWAACCCAACCCACAGAGCCTGAGGGAAGCTGCATCCCATTCCTGCAACCCCCATTATCCATCTTGGAGATCCTCCTGCAGCTCTGCATGGTGCGGAGCTGGACAGGAGTGCAAGGAGCCCAGGCCCATGGAGCRCAGCCAAGGTGCGTTATTAAGCAGCTCACACCGGCTTCAAGGCCTCATTGCTTTAATTTCCATTGGGCAGAGCCAGGAGCTAGTTAATGTTTATGCTGTAACGTAACCTTATATGACAGTGCCACTTCTAATTAAGACATCTGTTCTGGAGGAATGCAGTCATGAGCACTCCAGATATATACATATATATATGCACATACACACACACAAATAAAATCAGGAAAAACACAGAGCATCGAGYCTGCAGCTGTCAGAAGCAAAGCTTGGGTGCAGATTTCAGCTCTAACTTACCTGTTCTCACAGGGGCAGCCCGTGAGCACCCAAGAACAAACCTAGCTCGATGCACCAGCTTTCTYATGGGGCCGGGATTACATAATGCTGCACAACAGAGCCAGCGAAACTGGGATGCTACCCTGGCAAGTTTAACCCCTACAAGAGCATTTGCATTAAGGMTCTCACAAGGAACACAAATGAGGCAGGAGGAAGCCAGTTTATTGCTTTATTATTATTATTGATAATAACTAAGGTAATACTTAAACTTTGTTGTTTCTCGCCCCAGTGTCCTGCAAGAAAACAGCGCTTTCCKGGGGAGCCGCAGCCCAAGGCCGGGGACACGGTGACTAAGCAGGTGACAACAGCAGCGGCGGGCGCCGGGAGCCGCGCAGAGCCGCAGGGAGGCCGGGGCCCGGCGGGCCGCGAGGGCGGCCGGGCCTCGCGCGAGGGCCGCGGGAAGGGGAAGACAGCGGCTCGCAAACAACCCCCCGCCCAGGCCGGGGATCCCGGGCCCGGCCCGCCCCCCCCCGCCTAGGCCAGGCCCAGCCCAGGCCGCTCCCTGCGGCCGGCGGAGCGGCTGGAGCCGCCGCTCCCGCCACGGCGGCCGCTGCCCCTGGGCCTCGTCCCCTCCCCGCGCCCCGGGCCTCACCGTGCGGCGGCGGCGGCGGCTCCGCGGCGGGACCTGGCGACAGCAACGGCGGCGCTGCGGGCCCGGCGACTGCGGCGGCGCCTTTATAGGGCGGGGGAGGGCGCCAAGGGCCCGCCTCCCGCTGCCTCGCAACCACCGGGCTGCCCGCGCCGTTCGCCTGAGACAAATCCCGCCGCTTTTCCCTCGCGRCGCACGGGGAGAGGGGGTGAAATAAATGCGCACCCGCGCTGATTCTTCAGAGGAGGGAAGGGAGCGGGAAGGAGGCGGCGGGGAGCGGCAGCGGGCGGGCGGCTCCGGCAGGCGGGCGGCGGGCGCGCCGGCAGCCTCACAATAGGCCGCGGGGGCCTCGCGCGGCCCAACGGCCACGGTTGCCCCGGCCCCGGAGGCTCCGCGGGGCGGGGGCGGCGCTGACCCCCCCCCCTTGGGCCCTGTTTTGGTTTATTAATGTTAAAAACAGCAGCGCCGGCCTCCTCCGACTCATCCTCCCCCAAGTATAAATTCGCGGGGGTGTTTTGGGGCAGGGCCAGTGCACCGCGCCAGGCCTCTGGCATMTCCAGCCCTGCGTGCACGCGCGGTTACAGCTTCCCGCTCCCCGAGCTGCCCGGGGATACGTGACGATACACCAGGAAACACCTTGGGCCTCATAAACTAAGGAACGGCCCAGGAAGTTGGCACGTTCTGGAGCGCGGATTTGAGCCGCCAGCCCAGCCACTAGGACACCGAGTCCTCGTTGCCCGAGCCCTGCAGCTTTGTGTGAATCGGCAAGGAGGAGAATGAGAGAGCGGGAGAACTTCACACCAAGGCAGGGCCAGGTGCATCTCCCTCCTCCTCGAAGGCAGCTTGGGCACCASAGCAGGTGCAGGAGGGTGGATTTGCAACCAGGAAGAACCATTTAGAGCCCAAGTGACAACAGGTTTATTATATTTAATAAATAAATATAATTTACAATTTTAAATGTAACATTTATATTCATTATATTTATTTATACAGGTTTATATAGGTTTTTATACGAATTCCAATGAACTAGAGAGGACTGCCTGTTTTGGGAAGTCAAGTACAGCCCTCAGGCTGGTCGGGGCACTTGCAGACGGCTCCGAGCAACCCGCTCCAACCTCCGGGATGGGTCTGAAGTGAGAGCAGRCCCTGCTGTGAGCAGGAGCACGTGCAGAGGGTCCCCACGGTCCGGATCCACGGGAAATGCAAAGCCCAGCAGCTGGGTGAGTATCTGGACGTGCCAGGTGACACAGAGGAGACTTGCAATACTAACAAAAGCCTCCCATCCAGCCCTTAAGTGATCTTCCATTATAGCACACTTAGCTCTTTGCCATCAGTCACTCCTCCTTGTACCGCAGTGCTGAGGGCAGCATTCRCATTGAAAACCTTTCCCTTGGATGCTCTTTTTTATTTATATTAAAAGTGCTGGGCTAAGAGGATCGCATGATGACGGGAGGTGGTGTGAGGCCAACGCATCTGCAAGAGCAGTAATCCTAATAAATACCTCGTCCTGATGCTGCTGGAGATCAGGGTTTCTAATTYGGCTCCTCATCAGTAATTACAGGCTTGCTCAGACTGGGAATCAAACAGTAGAAAATGATTTTTGCTCTCTGCATAAGACAAAGCTAAACAAATCTGAGAGCAGGCAGAATGCTAAATTCCCCACTTAATTATAACCTACGAATGAGTTTAAATTTAGAGCGATACTGGTAACGAGCTTTATATTTGGTACAGTTGCTCTAAAGATGTGACAGATGTAATTCCATCCACATGGACTTTGAATTTTGCTGTTGAATGGGAAGTCTGGGAAAGCTAATGACAAAAACAACACACGCCCTAAAAGTGGTGTAAAWTTGTCACAGATAGGATCGCCCTGACGGCTCCCCTGTGCCCTACATAGCTCCTAATGAACCTCCAGAGCTAGTCGAGACGCTTGTTATCTTCCCTGTGAAAAAGAAGCTGCTGCGGAGCCGGCAGCGAAAGCCACGAGTCAATATCAATGACACAAAGGACCCATCCCGCACTGAAGCCACCAGGCCCAGAACGAGCCCTTTCAGAAGATGGGTGCACCAGTTTCAGTTGTTACATGGATAGGTCATCTCTCCAAAGCAAATAATCCCTGACCTAATATTTGCCATTCTGAGSCACGGATAATTGTACTCTGTATCAGCCACAAATAGATTAAAATTAAGGGCCTTTTACCACAGAGAATCCAGATCAGGAAAGGGGATGAGGGAAGCTTAACTCTAATGCAAATACCTGAGAAGAGGGGAGCAAGCACGAGGAGGATGAGCTCGGTTTAACGCTTACGAGACACCGAGCACCGCGGCCACAGGGCAAGGGCTTTCTCCCAGCCACACTGAACACGGCATGAGACGAGCACATCCTAAGGGATAGGGTTCTGGATTTGCTCCAAAGCCCTGATTCTATTCCTATTTCTCTTAGGTAAAAATACGCTCTGCCCCCAAATCCGTTTTTACAGACAGAAGAGCTGTTTTTTGCTGACAATTCACTGTCAATGGAGCTCACGCATGGTAAAAAAAAAGATTTTTAATATTCAAAGTGTGACACGAGGCTGTCGAAGCCTGAGAACAAGGCTTAGAAGATCTCAGCTTTGTTCTATCGATAACAAGCTCATAAAAAGCTGGAGGCAGGCCTGCAAGCTCGAGAAGCCAGAGCGCCATGGATAGCTAGGCGGAATAGCAAGGGAGGAGATGACTGTCAGAGCTCAGCACGGACCCCAGCTACAAAGGGCAGATTGGACTTGCAGGGAAAAATGCTCCTTGTTCCAGAATAAAAAGGGGAATGTTTTCAAAAACAAGCAGGCATATCAACAGGAAAAATTAGGACTGTAAAAGCTGTTCTGTTTTTACACAAACTGTACTGTTCACTGTAAAAACATAGATCTCTGATAATTTTGATGTTTCTGGTAGAAAGAGCTTTCCTGCAGAGGGGAAACATTGCGATCTTCCCCCTCAGTGCCCCTGAGCAGCAGACAGGCAAGGGCACTGAGGCGGAGGAGCAGCCACGAGATGGTGCCAGGTCTCATTCCCGATGGAGCAGGACCGGGAAAGGCGCAGGAGGGAGCACTGGAAACCATCCAGCCCCCTGTGCTCCCCTTCATCTGGATGGAGGCGCCTTTCCAACAGCCTGGATCACCATCACCCTCTGTGGTGCTCATCCAGGCTCACGGACTCCTCTCCAAAGAATCTTTGCAGGGAGACTTCTCTCCTTGCAGTTCAGGGCAGCTCCTGCGCTGAAATCCATTCCCTGTTCCTGGGTTTTCATTTCCAATGCAGCAGAGTTGTCTCTGCCATGGAATAAAGCACGTGATCATAATGAACATAARGGTCTGTCAGCAAAAAGCTGCTGCAAAGAGAAGTCCTCCATGAAGAAATAACAGATTTCCCGCTATTTATTCTATGAACCGAGTGAAAATATAGACAGACTTGCTTTAAAATGAGATTTACCCCTRGTGGCTATTTATAGAATTGTGAATATCCTTGATAATCTATGTGATATTAGGGAAATTGGGYTTTCTTTCTAGGGTTACGTAGTAGGATCCACTGGAAGTCAGAAAAGCAGGCAGCTGGGCTGGCACTGATGCCATGGACAACAGAGGGCAGATGCTTTGGTATTCCAAAGTCATCAGGAATAAGCATGCTGTAATTCACAAATTGGGCTAAATCGCAACATTTTTAGCAAGGACTTCAGAGCAAAAAGTGGGTCCAGAACCCAAAGAAGCTGAAAGCGACATGACTGAGCTAAAGGTGGAAAAATAAATACAGTAAAAAAGTCTCCAAAGAAACAGGAAGAAACCGAAGGAGTTGAGTTTCCTCAGCAAAGAAGCTGCTCTTTCCTTGACGCTGGGAATTCAAAAGGGCCCTATGAGCATTAACTTCATGGAAATTGATATTAACTCACTGAACTTCAGCTGTCAAATGAGCATCAAAAGTCCAAAACATTAAAAAGAGTGGAAGACAACGTTTCAGTGTCCACRCACACTGACATCTACTGTAAAGTATGAGGGTTTTTTGATGAAAAACTGTATGGTTAAATTTTATTTCCTCCCTGTGTCAATGCCTTTCAGACCAAATTGGCTATGAAATTATGAGTTTGAACAGCACATCCCCACCTGACAGTTCAGTGCTTCATTTCTAAATGCACCATCCAGAAGACACCTTATCTATCAGCAACAATTCAGTTTGAGGAAAATCAGTTGAGCAAGACACATAAAAGCAACAGGACTAAACAGCAAACTTTTAATTTGGTTTACACAACCTTATGCAATGACATGGATATCTGCAAAAATCCATACTCACCTCATCGAAAGCACCTGCCCACAAGTTGCCATCAGGGATACTCGCCTCTGATTGCACTGTTGCTCTCTTCTCACAACCCCAAAGCAGAATAAATTGGCCCCATACCATCACTGAGCAAAAACAGACTGAAATGGATGTGAAATTACTTAAACTTCCCCCCCTCCTTTGTTTTCTAGTGGATGTTTTGCAAAACAAGAAGTCTTTTAACAGTTTCAGTTTAAAACTAAAACAGGCAATTTTGGTTTTTTTAATTTTCTTTTCGTCTTCCCCCCCCCCCCCCCCAAGTACTTTCCCCTATTTTGGCTATTATACATATACAGCATTCAGGTACTATGTGATGAGTATTTTATATGTGGTGGGCCTCGAGTTTAATCTTCCTCCAAAAGCAGTTCCACTTCCAGTAACTACGAGATCAAGAACTGCAGTTCACCCCATCTGAAGTAACGGTGCTTTTAAGCTACAGGACAGRTTTTTAAAGGGCGAAACACAAAGTACTGCTCAGTTTAAACCAGAACTGTTGTTTCAGCCTTTTCCTCCTGAGTGTATGCCAAAAAACTCYGCTCCTTGCTCAAGAGAGCAACTTGCCTTCATTCTCATCCAAAAGGAAAACAGCCAAGTGAATTAGAGCACCAAAATAACATTTCTGAAAACCGCAGTGAGCAGTCATGAACTGCTTACTCTGCGTGGCTTTTTTAAAGCCTATTCATATACATTGAAAGATACTTCTACACAATCCACTCCATTTTTACTTAAAACTTGATCTGCTTTCAAACTGTTTTCTCCTGTGACTTGCAGAGAATTGTAATTCTACAGAATGATCACTTTAGCAAACAGCCCAAGCATTCAGTAAGGGTTTAATTCACTGCTTACATGCATTTCTGCTCAAAAAACAGTTTCTGTAACCCAGGGATATTATTGCRAAATCCTAAAAAGACATTTCTGTGATGTAGGTTGGCCTCATCCTATGCAGGCCTGACATACAAGTCTAATTACACACCAGTACAGTTGCAATAAAACGTCACTGCTCAGCAGTGACACTGACTGTGGGTCTGTGCAGACACATCTTTTCTGCAGCCCTCTCCTGCTCCTTACATCCCTGTTTCCCCTCCACCACCTTATCCTTTATTTCCATACTGTTAACACTCAAAACATGTTACTGTTACGGGAAGAGTTGCGGCATATTTACTGAACCATGATGAAAAATGCCAAAAATAAAACTAACGCTTGTGCTTTATTTTTGTATTTTGCGTGAGGAAATGCTTTGCTTTTATGATGAAGGCTGAATTTCTAGCTGACAGAGCACTTAGGCCAGGATAATCTTACCACACAATTACTTTATGAAACCAGATTTCAGTATTTCAAACTCTACAGTTTGAAGTCACTGCAAACTTGAAACATGGGCTGACAGGACTCGTAACCATCAGAAGCCAGATATACCTGCTGATGTTTTCAAATAAGACTTTAACAGCAACCAGACTGAAGCAGAGAGAGATGAAACGGGAAAGCTTTCCTCAGGGACACATGTGCTCTCATCTCCTTCTTACCAAGGCAGAACTTACCCCATCATCATCCAGAGAGACATGGAGAAACAAGTTAACTGGCTCTGTTCATTTTCACCTGTCTGCATGTCAAAAATCCTTCCGGAAGTATCAGCAGAAGACACAGACTGGGTAGCACTGCCAAGACACTCACAGCAGTGACCTGGCTTTGTGTGCAAGGCTCARCAGTTGAAAATAGATATTGGCATGAACTGACAAACACACACACACTAATCTACCTTGGAGAAAAGACATGGTTACATACTCCAACATGTAATGTTGCAGCTGCCAACCCAGTTCTCCTGAGCGCTGCAGAACAGGTTACACTAAGGTGGGTTACACAGTTTACTTGGATTCACCTGCACCTGAACAGTTCATGGCTGCTGGCGAAAACAGGATGAGAAGTTTGGAGGATGCTCAATGAGGCAACAGCTCATAGTATTACAACAGAGAGGAAAAAAACTTGTAGAAGGAAGATAAAGGAGGAAAAAAAAAACAGGCAAATATATCTTAGATCTTCTCCAGTTTTTCTTTCAAAATGTTACTGAATGTTTTCCTGCAAGGGGTGCATCTATCTAATGCTCATTGTTTTCAACTTAAGCGACTCCTTAGCTCAAAAGGGCCGGTGTCCACAAGTGAAGGACATTTCCCTCGGTCTGACACAAGAATYTGTACATGCCCAGATTACAGGACATCAAGTATGAGTTAAGCAAAATTCAACACTGACATCCTGAAAGCCTCCCCTGCCTATCCACTATCAAGCAATTTTGAAAAACATAAAGGGCACTGTAAATGTTTATAGTGGTTTGTAGAAAAGTACCCAGTTTTACTGAAAGCTGCTTTTGGACAAACTAAATCCAAATCTTTGCACCCCTCATTCAAAACTGGAGTTACCTCTTACACACACACACGCTACAAAATACTGGCTTTCTAGYTGTCTATATTCACCTTCCATGAAATCTATTCTTTGCAGTGAAGAAAACTGATCTAGCCATCAACAAAGGATCTCTAGGAAAGAAATACAAACCCTACGTGTGCTGGTTTCTCTGYCATGGGTGACATCAGTTTAAAGAGAGCAAAGTTTTGTTGATGGATGGGCAATTCTGTTAAATCTGCTACCAAAAACCAAGACAGTCATTACTTTTAATCAAAGGAATATTACAACCTAAAATCTGCTCCTACACTTCAATGTGAGGAAACCTGTTCCTGCAGCATTTCCTACATATATTTTTAGATTGTTAGGAATGGTGGTTACCAAACTCCATCCAAATGAAAATTTATTGTTCAGTGTCATATTCTCCATGAGATCTTCAAGCAGCCAATCCAAACACAACCATGTGGAAAAGAGGAGAGTGCAAAGATTGGATTGACTTTCAGCAGCTTCCCCATGACTTCATTAAAAATTGCTTGCACTGAGCACAGAATGTAACAAAACTGTATGTTTATATGTTTAGATGCTGACCCACTGGAAAAGATGAGTCAGACCTACTGAAGTAACAAGCAAAACAGAAAATAGGGCAAAGCAACTGCTCTTGAAGGAGTGGTGTCAATTAAGGCACAAAGTTCTATCAAAAAATACTTATGCATACAGACACTGGCAAGCAAGAGTAATTAGAGTTTACTGTTCTTTGCAGCAAAGAATTGTCTTCTTTTTTTGAAGAGTGATCAAAGCAAAGCTCCTGTTATGCTAAAAAAAGGTGATCTCAAATACACCTATTTTTAGCAGGTACTTCTTCCTTTAAAAGATCAAGCTTTAGTTTCAAGTTATTCCTTCAATACTTAGAAAACGGATTTATTCTTTTTTCAGAAAAAGATTTCAAATATTAGCACCTACATTGGAATTAACTCAAACTTCGCTTTACACTTGGAAAAAAGGCTTCAATAATCAAAATGTTATCCTATACTATTCTACTTTTAAATATTTGAACAGAGCTCCAAGAGGGAAAGCTAAACAACATTCCAGTACTAGACCAGCTCAGTCCTCACCTTGCTGACAGCATGTGACCAGGGATAAAATTCAGTAAGTTAGTTTTTCAGCATACTTATCTTCCCATTAAGGTAGAAATTGATGGGTTTATAAAACTCATCAAGCAAATGTTAGTTTATTAAACTAGTTCTGACCTAAGATGCAATTAGAATTTGACATTTTTCCATACTTAGTTCACAAGTTTATTATGAAAAACACTGCAGCTCTTTCCTGCAGTAACATTGTTTTACAGAAAAAAACAGTTCTGTTCAAAGTAATTCACTATGCTTGGACAATTACAAAGGACAATATGGTAGGGCAGAGAGTGGGAATGGGAACTGAGTGCAGACAAAAAAAATCAATACAATTAAATTAAACAGTATTCCCTGAAAATAAAACAAACAGTTTCAGAACAAATATGAGGCCTTGGTACTTATTTTAAAAATGTTCTTTAAGCTTCAATGATTGTTTGCTGCTATCCTTATCTACAGTCATGCTGAATAAAGCTATAGCTAAATGGAAAGTTAAATGTATTCACGAGGTGTTAATGTCTACATCTTATTATTTGCAGTCTCTCAGAGAAAGCAAAAGTAACTACAAATAGCGCTATGCCAGAAACTGGTTTCTTGACCAACAATGTTGCTTCAGCATGCAATGAACTGGTTCATTCTAAAGTGGTCACAGTTGTTGACGACAAGAGGCTTTGTATTTGAATATGGCACGTCTTTTGGTCCATGTGAAAACAAGTTTGAATGTTAAATATTTTCTGACACTTTGGAGTTACTGTTGCTCTTCCCATTTTCTTTAGGTCAACATATGGTTCATGGCAATACTGTACAGGTCTAAAATCTCTTTACAGGAAGTAGTCTGGGGTGCGACGAGTAACATGCGGTTCACCTCTACGCGGTGCTGGATCAAACTGCAAACTGAAAAAGAGAGCAAGCATCAACGGAACTGCAACAGCCCTGTTTGCATTCACATATTTCACATGTGAATCATACTAGCAGTGGTCTTAACATATAGGTCAGTTTTTCAACCAAAAAAATTCCTAGAGCAAGTGCACAATTTCTTCTACTTCTCTGCTAATAAGTATTTTTAACGCCTGTATTTTAAACTAGTGCTATGATTGTTACCAAAGAACTATGGATTGGAAAGCAAATAATAATTGTTTGAAGAATTCCAAGAGACCTTGCTCTAGACCAGCATCATCTCCAACTTGACAGGGTTGTCCTACCTACAAATTCTTCCTTAGACTTCTACAGAATTTCACCAAACTCCAGTAAGAACTCATACTAATTCAACAAGCAAGAAATTTCAACACTTCCACAGATTTGGTCATCTGCAGTCTTATATATTTTAGACTCTTATACTTATTTCATTTCCAGAAAATATATAGGGAAGAAATGAAGAAACACACCAGAATTTTSCTAAAACAACTGTCCTAAAATCATGTACAGCATGAATTTCATCTTCAAAGATACTTACAAGGAGTATTTTAGAGTATCATCAAGTTCCATAATTGCAGCTTGATTGCCACAACGGTAGCAATAGTTTGGAGCACTGAAAATTGTTACTACATTCCGATCATGGCACCAGTTGTACCCCTGGAGAGAGAGTGCACAGAAAAATACAGATGATATTTTTTGATAACCTCATTGTTCCACCTCACGTAATAACCTATTAAAATGTTTTTATATTTGCAAAAACCTCAGTGGCATTTGTAGCRCCCCTTTTTAGAAGAAGAACAAAGGTACGTCTTCCTTTATTCAAAGGAAAAGTGTAGGGAAAATAGCCCAGCTTCTTACTAGCAAGCGTAAGCTCAGCTCATTGAAAAGGAAAGAAGGAATTTTTGGTTGCACTGGYGATAAGTTTCAGATAGTTTCAAAATAAGAGTTTTGGGAAGATTCTCAGCTCTATCGTGAGATGTTGTCACAGAAGCCAACATGCAGATCACGCACATACCAAACATGGCATTAATGCACCAACTAACCAACCCGAGTCTGACAGTGACACTGCTCACCTCCATTACCAGCTGATGAGCTCTTGAAACCAATGTAAGGCCATTAGCATGGTTAAAGGTTTCTGAAATATCCTGTCCAAACGTATAGCCTGCACCTCGAGGAGAAATTCCCCAGCCACCACGATCATCTGGATCTGACCATAGCAAGTCACACATTGGACCCTGTAAGAATTTAAGTTAGTTCAGAAACTGAACATCAAAATAATCAAAAGCAACACACACACTCCTGAACAAATTGCTGCATCACATCACTAAGACAGTAATGAACAGCATGCCTATCAACTACATCACCTACTGCAAGCAACTCCTGAGATACTACTAGGAAGTTAATGGAGAATCTGTTAAGTCACTCTCACCTCCTAGACCCTTAAGTGATACTTGCTGAGATCTCAGGTATGTTAATGTTTCTTAATTTAGGCAAGAACATGCCTAAAGTTTCCTTCAGAAAATTAAACAAGAAGACAGGCACTTTATACTGATAAGTTGTTTTGAATTTCATTTTCAATCTGCATAATTGTTAAGATATACATTAAGATACATGCTGATTCACGAGTCCTACCACAAGTTTAGACAGTCTTATTTTTTCAGTACCTCATGGGGAACTTCCTGCAAGCGATCAAGTGCTCTGATGTGATCCAGTGTATCTATCGATGGAGAGAGACCACCATGTAGACAGAAAATCTGAAAGAGTTACACATATATGGAATTTATCCCAWCTGTTTACCCTAATTGTTTACTAGCTAAAATAAATAGAAGAAAAACTGCAAGGTTATTTTAAAGCTGATGGGACACAGTAATAACAGCTACTTTTAAACTGGAGACATTTTATTTCCAAACGTCAACATACCTGGCCATCCACCAAGGCAGTTAGAGGAAGGTAATCAAAAAGGTCTGTAAAGTATTTCCAAACGTTTGCATTTCCATATTTCCTTAAACATTCATCATAGAAGCCATATACTTGTGTGATTTGCCTGCTTTCATGGTTCCCTCGAAGGATTGTGATACGTTCACGGTAACGGACCTAAATGTAACACATTATTTCAGAGGCACCAAAACAACCTCCACTGCCCACTTTCATCTTCTCCTCTCCCCTAAAAAAAACAAGTTTGCTTTTTTTCCCCCCTCTTTGTTGGGCCAATAAAGCTGCAAAAATATTTTTATGAATAAAGACTCAATTAAGAGTTTCTCTCAAATAGGGCAATGCATTTAAACCTTAAATTGCCATATACTTGGAGATCAACTGCAATTTTTCCACCATTTTATCTATACACATGCTACATTTGTGCTTGTGCATACAGTAGAAGCTCATTTTCAGAATTCTAACAATTCTTTATCTTTGTAATATTTCAGCTCTTTTAACGCACAGGCCTTATGCTTGTCTTTCCAAGTATAACATCTACACCCACTACAACCACCCAGTATTCCTTGCTTGGTAATGCACGATCTGTAAGTTTCAAAAAGCTGCTATTGCTAGATTTCTTAAATGCAAAGACTGTGTATGTTTCTTTACTTATTCTAGCTTAAGTAACACACACATACATACAGAGAAGTTATTTTAGAAAGTTATATACCCTTGCACCTGAAAGTTAGATTTTCAGAAATATCTTAGAACAGTGAGAACGCTACCATTTCATTTCACCTATAAGCATAGTATATTCTTAATGAAGATTAAATGTAGTAAGTAAGGTAGTTATAAAAGTCATTTAGAATCATACAGTTCAGAAAAAGTTACCTTAAGAGCTACCAGCAATGTGACTGTTTCAACTGAGTAATAGCCTCTGTCAACATAGTCCCCCATAAACAAATAATTTGTGTCTGGTGATTTGCCTCCAATTCTGAAAAGTTCCATGAGGTCGTGAAACTGTCCGTGGACATCTCCACAGACTGTGACTGGACATCGCACTTCTTGTACATTGGATTCTTTTGTCAAAATTTCTTTAGCCTAAAAAGAAAGAAAAAAAGATAAGAAATGAAGCACAAGCCGAATGCAAGTTATACCGAGTAGTAACAGCAACTGCCAAGCAGGTAGATTGTTTGCAAAAGCCTTTGGAGCAAGTTTTGTGTTTAAGTACATGTGAGAAACTCTACTGTGCTTTTGACATCTGAACAGATACCTACTGCAGATAGATTGTCTTTTTTTTTTGAAACTGCCTACATAAAAGTTGCAGACAACAGCAATTTGATGAAGACGCACTAGCTAAATATAGCATCAAAAAGGTAATTTTAAAATAACACAAGAACGTGTTAATCATATCACATTGCCAGTTGTTAGTTTGTTCTCAAAAGAGACACCAAACGCATACCAAAGTAAATTTGTAAATCAAGAGGATATCAGAAACATAAATAGAAGCAAGTTTAGGATCTAGCCTCTACTAAGATTTTCAAGTCATTTAATCACCAGTTTACCTACCCGAAGAATCTTTTCTTTTTAAAATCTTATTACTGSAATAACAACAGAATACACCAACTACGATATGTTTTATAACCCAAGATGTTTACAGGGCTCCCAGACACAATAAAAAATACCACAAAAATACCACCAAAAATATTTTATAAGGCATGCTAAATCCAAACTATTCTAAAGTATATGTCAGTATTACAAGACTGATGGAAGAGCCATGTGAATAAGCCACATTCATTTAAGGGTCATTTTCTTAATACTTCTCAAAGCTAATCCAACAGCTAAGCAGCATACTACCTTGTGGTTTTGTTTCGCTAAGCCAAGCAGAAAGTATTTTAAAAGAACTGCAGAATATATCCAGAATTGTTTAGACAGCATTAGATTTTAAGGTTTAGGAAAGGAACACTGAAATCTAATCAGTACATTAAATACCGGTATTGGAATGAGCCATGCTGCCGTGTCCAAGTTTCCATTCTATCCATCAGCTGGACAGCGATGGCCCCTGTCCTCCCCCCCGACTCTAAATATGCCTGTTCCTAGGTATTATCCAGGCTTACCACCACAGTAACCATTCCAAACAAGAAAAGCATCAACAACAAATACTTAATGATGAAGATGCAAGAAATTCAGTGGGATTCATTCAACACTGGGGGAGAGGAGGCAAAAAACAATATTATGGTAAGTATCTCATACAGCACAAAGCTTCACATATTAAAGCATGAGTAACTGTTAAATCATTTCGTAGACATATTTACATTAAAATTCAATCTCAGATGACAGTTTCCACTCCTGCTGTGCCTAGTACTAAAGACAGGTCACTGATGACTTGTGACAGACACTAAAAAACTAGTTTTATTTTAAGATGGTCTGACTTAAATTCATTTTAATGCAGTGACACTCACCGGATGTTTTGAAGGTGTTAAAATATTCTCAGCATTATTAATATACCCCTAATGCACATACAGAAGCATCAGCCATCTGAATCCATGAAAGCTTCTATAATGGTCCTTTTAACAGAGAAAGTTACACTTACAGGACCTCCACGTGAAAGATGTTTAATTAGAAATGCTTCCCACTCCCATATTCTCTTGCCACACTGGGAGCCCTGCTTTAAGAACATAGATCTTTTTCTCTTCAAAGGTATGCAATTTTCATGTCGACAGAGTCTAGAATGGCAYTGCTTGCAGCATTAGGGTTGTCACTTCCTCAGTTTTTGAAAAATTAAATCACTTGGATATCTTACCCATATGGCCATATTCTTATATCAGACAGCTACTCTGATGGAAAAAGACTGTTCCAGGTCAGCTTGCAAATATCAATCTATTCAAATCCTACAACATTACAATGCTAGTGTAGCAACTGAAATATTTCTGTGTTCTGCAGCAAGYTTCATGAAATACTGTCATATGAACTGCTGAGCCCGTTACAGTCCTTCCAATAAAAATAGCTACACTGGATTGCAAGTGTACTTCCCTCTTCAAACAAACGTCACAGCATCTGAAAGCAGGAATAAAAATCCCAGAAAACAAGCTACCTTGAGATCCATAATACATAGCCCAAGTTCTGCTACAAATCATTTCCTATAAAAGGGTAAAGCAACAGCCCATATTAATACATTGAGCTGGGTTTCTGGCAACACTGACCTTGTACTGGATCAAACACCAGCCTGTGCAACCTCACCTAGTTCTACTCCCTCTCTCACCATCTCTCCCCAGAGCTCTAGGATGATGCAACTTGCACAGCCACTGCACCCAACTCCCTGCCAGGTCTCCTTCCATAACAGACAGGACTCCCTGCCAGCAGCTCTCCCTACACTTCCCTACGGAAAGGAAGGGGTACAGCCTTTCAGCAGCCTTTGCAGCAGATAAGCACTCCCTGACCAAGTCCTCCAAAGCAGGAAGAAAGGGAGAAGACTGACAATCAACCGAGTGACCTATTGCCAAAGATGGGTAGCACTGCAATATTTACCAAAATTTTGACATCAGCATGTTGAAACATTCAAGTTTCACTGCCTATCACTAGATAAACAGTTATGCAATTCTGAAACTTTTTTTGAGCACTTAGCACTGCCKTAATTTCTCAGGCATTTTTCACTTATTTGTGAACATTAAGATAGCACTATCTGTATTGGTTAATATTTTCTAATCTCAGTATGTGACCGACGCATTTATCGTAATATTTTACGAATTAAAAAAGTTGAATGAATTTGAACGACAACTCGACATCAACAACATACACTATACACTAGAATTACAAAACTCTACTATTCATCATACATAGAAAGAAAAAAAACAGGCCCTTAGAAGATGCTTACAAATTCACAAGAACATCAGAACCAAGTAAATCCAAGTGAAAAATGAGAACCATCATAAATAATCACTGCCAAGGTGGGAAGTCAGGCATTTTACTCAAGGCAACCTGAAAGTTCAAGCACTAGGCACGTATCAAAAACGCCTCAGCTGAGCCACAGTGCCTGAAGTTCATTCACACTACCCCGACATCTGCTTACTCAGCCATTTTTCTAGAGTAAAAAAGCGCAACTTCATAGAATCTCAGGCCAACCCAAGACACAGCAAGAATAAAAACAATGGTTTAAACAGACAAGAAAACAGCAAGTCTTCACCTTACTATAGCCAAAGTATTACTAGATGAAAAAACAATCTGGTATTTAAATGTTCCTGGACTGCTACATATTTCACAAATGGTAGGACAAGCAGCAAAGCACTGTTTTATTGACTTTGTCTGCCAAGCACATTTTCTACAAAAAAAGACTACCCACATTTTAAGGCCGTGCAGGATCCATGTCTACCTTGTAATATGTAAATGGCAGATTTTTTTAAAAAAAAAAGTTATGACTTTTAAAGCTGCTACCATACTATTCTTATCTCTGCAGTTTTTCTTAATAAAAGGCAGAAGTTTCACACGCAGAGGTACCGCCGACTTTGTTTGTTCTCAGCTTCAATTTTTAGCTCATGACAAATTTTAAGACTCAAAACYGAGGACCTTAAGAGCTGCAATCCAGCAGTGACACATCCATTCCCAACTTACTGCATTTGTGGACAAGTGAATTTGCCTCAAAGGTACCAGAATACTATATCTCAGAATTCATTTACCTGACCATTTCTGAAGAACTCCCCTAAATTCATCTCTGCTCCAACTCCTTTGTATTGGCAGAACATCCCAAATACTTCTTGATTTGTCCTACTCCTTCTCATAAACATCACTGTGGTTTTGTGGAGATTAAAGCTGCCAAACAATACTAAATCAATGCTATAAAACACAATGTTGAGCTACCAGCAATTCAGGAAACAAGTTTTTTTTTAACATATTATTTTACAATTTTTTAAGATATTATTTTAATTATACAACATAACTCCAAATTCAGCATTACAATCTGTAATGTGTTGTTCTTAGGCCAGAATTCACACCTACAAACTGCAAGGCTTTCTAATAAAGTATGCCTGCAGAGACATTATGCTGGAGCTAGGAAAAAATAGGTATTTGCAGTTATCATATTTTAACCAGATCGAAGTCTTCAACCACACCCCTAATTTCCTGTCATTGAGGTGCACAGGATATGACTAAAGCCACAGTGATCAGCTAATTGGGATGAAGACTAGTTTTACCAGGTCAAAAATCATGACCTGGAATGGATTCCAATTCCAAGCAAGAAGTCATACCATTATAGTCAGCGAGTCTTCTGTAAAGTGAGGCAAACACATTCAACTTAAAACTTTTATCTTCTCACAAGTAAAAAAAAAAGGAAACCATGTTTAAACCTAAGTCTGTATTACCTGCTTTTAAAGCAAAAGATATTTTCTTTCACCTGATGTCTTAAACATAGAGAAATCAAGTCTCCAATATCATCCTTTTGAGAAATGTTAAGCCAGGGGTCGGAATATATATCACAGAAAAAAGGGAAAATTAACACTGAACTTAAGAATCTTCTAAAGTGTTAGAGGTGAATGAGAAATGGAATCTAGAAATAAAAGTAATATTCAAAAATATTGGCATTTCAAAATGCCAAAATTCAGAAATATTGCCACAATGGCATTTAACTACTTACTATTCTAACAAGTAAAAACAGGTTTTCAACCAAAACAGAATGAGCAACAGCAGCAAAAAACTTTTACCAGAGTTGAACTAGAAGATACCTTGATGTGCTTTTTCTCTGGGCTTATAARTAATGCCTAAGTCTGCACTTTGAAACTAAATGCTCACTACTATCAATATCGAGAATCTAGAAGTCAATGAAGCAAAACAAAGAATGTCTCAACAATACGTCACAATATAGCTGCCARGAATGCATGTGTCAGCGTGGTGCCTAGGCATCTGTAAGGCCTTTATTTTCTTAAATAATAYTGGTAATATAATGATAGAAATATGGTGTGCATATGATAAACAGAAAACAGAAATTAAGATTGGAATAAGATAGAACAGCAAAGTAACAAAGAGAGTTAACAATTCAAAATGGAAGTACTGTATCCTATAGATACATCAATGACTACTTGTAAGTGCAATAAGGCCAACTCCCCAAATGTGTAATATCCAATGAGATTCCTGTATCACA